TTTAGAAAAACACAACTTTGATACTTTTAGGGCCTTTGGGACACTCTGTACATTACAAAAATATTTTTAAAATGTGCACCCGATAGGCGTCTGTGGATTCTTCAAATAATATTTTGAATAATAATGTGAATAACCCTGTATATATAAAAATATCGAACATCGATATTACGAATTACTTCGATGTTTTTCTCCCATCCCTATCACAGACTGTTTGGGCAAATCAAAGCCCATCGACGTTCTGACTTTTAGACATTTTTCAACATTTCGCCGGATAACGAGCTACTTTCAAAATGTTGCTTCATTTAAGCCCGTTGCTAAACAGCAGGGTTTAAAAAATATGAAAAGGGCATTTCTTCAGATTCTCATAGAGCACTAGTCAAAAGCCTCCTTAGTTCACTGGGGGGTATTTTGCCAACGCAAAGTGGTACCGCGAGGGCCTGATTTCCGAACAAAGAGCCCAAAGGTTCCCCATAGAGTCCATCGGGACAAAGAGACTTGCGACATGAACGCAGCCGATAGCGGCAATTCTGCGCGTCGCATTTAATCGACGGAAAAGCGTTATCCGAATGGTTGGTTACCTTGTGACTTGAGATAACGGTACCATTCGAGTGTCGAGTACACGGAGCACAACAGCCTGGGCGACGTCGGTGGCGATGGTGCAACATTTATCTCGATTGCGTCGATTCTGTCTGGCACAATTTGTTGGGAAAAATCGTGAATCGCAAGAAACGGGGGTGAATGAGTGCGCGACCGCGCCCCAACGACTCATGAGTGCGTACTGGGCGAGTGCAATGAAAATGGTGCGAGTGCGACCTGCCCAAATCGAGCCTCTGAAGAATCAGAGGCGAGACGTCACTGTCTTTACGGTGGAAAAGTGTGTAGAGCACAATGACAGGTCAGTTTCCAGACTCCCACACTAACAAATGCAACAAGGCAAAGTCTGCTCCTGCTGGCTCTTTTGGCTTAAATCCAGCCAGCAGCTTGATTGTTGATATGTAGGTCGATGCCCATGTACAGCCAGCGCGACCCATTTTCGACACTTTTGGGGTGTAAAATTTTCTAATTTTGATTTTGCCGTTTTGAGCTCGACCTAAAAATGACACCTATACTGATTTTTTGAAAGTGTCGGAAATGGGACACCCTGTACAGATGGACAAAAGCATCCCTCCAAAGAAACCGAAGTCGATTCGCGTCTTCTGTGATTTTTCAAAGTTTAGAGGATTCAACTGCAAAGCCAGATGTTGGTAGAGTCCTAAGATCTCGATTGTTTCCATAGCTGGACAAACTTGTGGTTCCATTCTGGGCGCCCGAGCAGGAAATAGATATGGCGTGCTCCAAAACAGCCGAAATTTCCCCTTAAACATCGCTTGCTTTTCCATTAACTGACACACGTGACTGTCGAAATTTATACCAGAGGGTGAAAGCGGCCCCCGAAGGGTGCATATGAAATTTAATTAGTGACCCCGGCCCCGCAGGATGTCCAGTTTATGAGTTTTTCTGCGTCTGAAGATTGCAGGATAAAAGGCGGCCCAAATTTGCCCGAATTTCTCGCCAAAAATCCGATCAATAACAGTGCGAAATGGCCGATTGGTGTTTGTTTCCTATCTTATCTTTACAGGGATTTATTGACGTCAAAATATGAGCAGACGTTCGATAGCGGCAATCATCCTAGCCAATTGTTTATTACCTTGAATTATCGACTTTCTCTGTTTCATGCTGGTGTTGCCTTAGATTGATTGATTGATCGATGATGACGAAAACGGAAATTTTTTTGACCGCGGTATTTTGCACCCTTAAATAGACGAAACTTCACTCTATAATTCGTCAAACTTTGATTGCTTTGACGAGTTTGACCATATTTTGACAAATTTTTCAAAAACAGCTAGACAAGAGCGGTCTTAAAACTTGAAAATGTGCAAACCGCATAAAAAAATTCACCACGAAAAAACCAACAGAAACAGATCTCGGTTGCTTGAACCCTTAAATAAGGAAAACTCTACTCAACAATTCCTGAAAGTTTCATTCTTTTGGCGAGTTTGACCAGATTTTGACAAATTTTCCAAATACCACTGGTCTAGAGCGGACTCAAGGTGAGAAAATATGCAAGGCATATAAAAAAATTTCCTCAAAAAAAAACCAGCCGAGATACAGCGCGGTATTTTCCACCCTTACATAGACGAAACTTCACTCTATAATTCCTCAAAGTTTGATTACTTTGACGAGTTTGACCATGTTTTGACAAATTTTTCAAAAACAGCTCGACAAGAGCGGTTTCAAGACGTAAAAATTTTCAAACCGCATAAAAAAATCACCACGAAAAAACCAACAGAAATAGATCTCGGTCGTTTGC